CTACAAGAAATGGCAAAAAGAGGAATTTATAAAAATATAAAAAATGAATAGAAGGCGACTGACAGAAACATAAAAAGCATAAATTAACAACATAGCTGAAATAGCAGAAAAAAATCTAAAATTAAAAGAAAAAAAAGCTAAAATCAGCACAAAGAATCAGAACAAGAACTAAAAGTAAAAAGTGTAAAACGAGTTTTTAGGTTGAAGACTGCTTCATTGTCAATAAGAAAAAAGTGGCTGAAAAAGCAAAACAGCTGAAAAATCCAACTTTCTGAAATACTAAAAGTCATATTACCTATTATGGCATAAATGCGCTCAACGTTTTGATACGAGTCGTTGAAATGGCACAAAAACTATGCAACGAGTTACATAATACATACAGAAAAACGTAAATGACCTGATGCCAGCAGAATATTTTACAATTTCATAAATATTTGAGCTGAATATCTGTAAAACTGACTAAATTAAATAGTATTGCTGTTCTTTCTAACATCATTTAGCTGCAGCCTCCGTTCTGAAGATAGTTTTGAGCCAAAAAGGATTTTTTTCTTTTCCCTTGTATCTCCACCTCTCACCAGCAGGGGGAGACAAACCTGCAACTAAATAACTAAACTTTTATTCTGCTGCTGTTACTTTATTTAAATGTATAAAATATATTTTATGCTGTTTTTGTTGAGACAAATCATCAGTCGTTCAAAGAGAGGATGTTCAAAAATGGCATTTATTAAAAAAAGGAAGGAAACAAACAAAACAAAAACAGGAACCCACCATGCAGAACCTTTGTTCCTTCAACACAAAATCAAAACTGACACAAAATATATACAAACACAAAGAGAGGAACCCATCCCACAGCCAGACTGAGTCCCGTTTAACAGAACATCTGAGAGCGTTTCTATAAATTCAGCTGAAACTTCAAACCAGGAGAGGTCCACCTGCTGAGACAAACTCAGACTCAGAAATAAATAAAAACATTGTTTTTGTTTACATCAGCAGCAGCTTTTAACAGAAACTGAACAACTCTGAGGTGTTTTTAACCGTTAGCTTCCATCAGGTCGTCAAACTGAAACAGGTGAAAACACTGACGTGACCCCGTCCATGTTTTTAAACCTAGAAGCTGAAGCCGGATCAGGACCAGCTGGTTCTGGGACAAGCTTTAAGCCCCGCCCCTTCCATCAAAAGCCCAGCAGTGCCAGTGATCAGACGTCCAGCAACAAGAGGAGACGAGGACGACGTGTACCTTTAAGCCCCGCCCACTCTCCCCCACATCATGGTGTCACATTACCTTCCATTAAAGAATAAATTAATAACAAATTTAAATTTAATAAGAGCTATGTCTCTAGTTTCCATGAAGGGGGCGGGGCTTAAAGCTGGTTCTGTTTGAGCTTCAGCTTCCAGGTTCTGGTCAGATGTTCTACAGTTTACAGGTCAGCTTATTTTTCAGCTCTGARGGAATTATTATATATTTTAATAACTTGTATTCTGGTTCTGGACAGACTGGATCGTTGTCAATAGAAGATTTGTGTTTTTTTTTTATTCAGAGTATAAAAACCTGCAGCTGTGAAGAGATTAAATTTGTATTTAACTGTATCAACTGTTTGGATTAAACTCYTCAAATAAAACATTTTGAGCATCGAGCTGTTAAAAAATAAGATGAATATTTTGACATCAGTCAAAAATAATCAAAAATCTGARGTTTATTCATCAAATCAAGGGTTAATTTGTCCTTTATATTTAAGATTTGTGAACAACTACCAGTCATAAAAGCAGCCGAAGGGTGTTTGTTTACCTACAAAATCAGCCGAAGTGATTGAATTAATTTAGGGATAAAAAGTCTTCAGTTTCGTTTTGACTCTTTTCATGTTGATGAAATGTGACAGGAAGTGCTGCAGGTCTGAYCAGGTCACCTGTTGGTGTCCGAAAGCTTTCGGCTCTAAGCAGCCGAAGTCTTATTGGATCTTGGCCGAGGTTCTAAGGAGGCTGGAGTTAATCCTGCTTTTGGTCGGGCTTTTCCTGACCTTAAAACGCAGAAAACGTGTCAAACGCAGAACGGCTCGATGATGAACTTCCTGTTTGGAAACGAGCGATTTGATTGGATCTCAGAGCGAAGAGAAACRGAAAGATCTGCAGCTGTTTCCCACAGTTTACAAAAGCTCTGACAAACCTTCGTGTTTCACAGCTTCATGTTGGTCGAATCACCCTAACAAAAAAATTAAATAATAATTTTACTTTTTAATGTGACAAAAACAAAACAGAAACTCAACAAACTCACTTTTCTTCTTCCAGACTTGTTCAAAATGAAACTAAAAGTGAAACAAACACAACGAGTCGCTCATCTGGATTCTTTTATCACATATTTGACCAGAAATCACGACTCTTCGACAGAAAACCTTCAAAATAAAAGTCAACATCGTGTCCAGTCAGTTCAATACAAAGCAGGCGATTTTAAAACAAAAAATAAATAAAAATAAAAATATTGCACTGGTTTGGTGTAAGTCTACGGACGGGCGGTCATCATATAAATAACAACAAACAACCAGATTTACCAGAAGAATATTCGTAACGCTAATAAAAAGTGTTCGGACTAAACTCCCCGTTTTACCACTGCTGCCAGCTGAAGTCGTCGTTGGAGCCGAAGACCAGGAAGAAGCCCAGGATGGTCCCAAAGATGACTATGTTACCCGTTAGCACGAGCGCACACGCCCCCCAGGCGATCTGCGAAACAAGATCAATAATAACAAATCAAATTTAAAAKTAAGGGAGGGATTCGACGTTTCGGCCACTCACAACTTGGGCTCTGGCGAAGACGACGGGCAGGCCGAAGGCCGAGATGACGATGCCCGTCGTGAGGAAGATGGCCAGCTCTTTGCAAGCGTTGCTGGCCGAGTCCGTGTCGTCCACCACCCGCCGAGAGACGCAGTACGGGATGGGCGACAGGATGTAGAAGAAGAGGAGGAACAGAGGCCAGTACTTGCTGCAGAGCAAGGGGCGGGAAAAAAAAGAAAATATCAACTATTTCACTTCTGTGGGACTAAATTAAGTTTACGTCATGGTTCGACAAATCCTACTGCCCGAGGCAGGTAAACAGTTTCTTTTATTGTTTTATAGGATCAATGGGCCTCATGCAAGAACCGTTCGTACACACAGATTTGTTCTTAAGTTGTGCGTACGAGTGATTTAGGAG